GGGGGGGGGGGGGCAGCCCTTGAGCAGATGCAGAGACTGTAGAGACTGTATCCCTTCCCTTGATTCTGACCCTCAGGCTCACAATGTCCCCACTGTCCATCCACAGAGGTTCCCTCCTCAGGGCCTGGACACCCGGGCCCAGAACAGGCCGTAAGAAGAAGCTGGCTAGCTAGAAGAGAAAACCTCCAAACTCCTGCCCGTCCCTGAAGGAGAAGAAAGGGGGCAGGAGCAGGTGGCCACTGCAGTCCTTCTATCCATCCATGGTCACACAATTGACCGGAACAGGAAGGAGAAGACAGCCCCCAGTGCCAAGCCCAGAGACAGAAAGAAGGCCATGATGGCTCCAGCTGTCTCTGCCTCAGCCGGCTTCACTTTCCTAAAGGCGGGAGGGCAAGGCTTCCTTAGAATGGCCCCTACCCCAGCCCCACCCAGAGCCTCTGGGGTGGGGAGACTTGCCTGAGCACAGAATTCTGCTGCCAAGCATCTTACTTTCCCGCCCCCAATCTGGCTTTTCCCTCTTGGGGGAATGTGTACTGGGGTCTGTCTCCCACCTATCCACATCTCCACCTAGGTACCCCAGGTGTCCCACCGCCCACCACCCACCACTACCCCTTCACCTACGTGCCTTACATGCCCCTCCAGGATCAGGGAGTCTCTGTTGCCCTCTCTCCCTTCACTGAGCATCCACTGCTGCAGCTCTAGACCCTGCCTGATGCCACCAAGGTCCCCACTCACTTGGGCCCGAAGCACATGCAGAGACTGGCGAGGTAGCCATTGGAGAAGGCGAAGGCAGCCATGAAGATGATGAACCAGGCGTCGTGCTCGAAGACTACAGCCAGGTACCGGCGGGGCTGGACATTGCACAGCAGCAGCAGGGGCACAAACAATATCCGGGCCAGCACCAGGCTTGGCAGCCAGTGGCTGTCCTTCCCAGGCTGCAGAGGAGCAGGTGGTACCTCAGCCGGGGCTGGCCCACAGCCTCCCCCGGGGGCCCCTTAGGATCTGGATTGAATCTGGTTACCCTTAGGGCATAGTGATTGGGAGGGAGCATGGTTGAGCTTTCTGGAGTGCTGGCAATGTTCTATATTTGACCTGGGTGGTGATTATTCAGAGATGCATGCATGTTTACGTGTGTGTGTATTCATTAAGCTGTACGCTTAAGACCTGTACAACTTACTATACATAATGTCTTGGTTTAAAAAAAAAAAAGCACGCTCCCCTTACCACCACACTATCTTGGTTCCCTTTCTGCATCTCAGGCTGGATTCTTCCCTCTCACAGGGGCTGGGTGCCACCTTCTACCACTTACCCATGTAAATATAGCTGTGAGGCTCCGGCCCAGCCAGTCGAAGACATTGAAAGTCAAGAAACAAGACACAGGAATGAAGTAGGCTCCTGGAAGAGGAAAAGTAGATTCAGGGATGGTTATTAGGTCCAGAGAGACAGATTTAGCCTCACTGGGGCTCAGTTTCCCCAGCTGCCCAGCTGTAAAACAGAGAAGATGCTTCCAGCCCAGGGAAGGGCAAATGGGCCAAGAAGAGTCTAGTTGGGGAGACAACAGCCTAGGATCCCCCACTCCCTCACCCCCAATCCTGCTCTAGCTCCTGTCTGTCCCCATCCTGGGAACCCATGGTGTCCTCACCCCAGGCACTGTTGCCCGCAATGCTGGATTGGACCTCAGCAGTCACAGCGGGAAACATCCCAATGGTGACCGTGAAGATGAAGCAGACGGAGAGAGCCGGGACTAAGATCTAGAGGAAAGGGACCCAGGCCCGTGTCTTCATGGCGTTGTGCATTCAAAGAACCCAGAATCCCCACCCCCTGACATACACACACACACACACACACACACACACACATACACACAC